AGATGATATGTGGTATCAAGAAAATCTTTAACAACTCTAGTAAAATGTGCTGGGACTACGTCCTGAAAAAACACATTTCACGGCGTGTTTGCAAAGATACGTCGTCAAAAAGTAACGACAAAACATTTTGCAAGAAATTATAGTAGGCCTCTTCATTTAGGCTTCTGGATAATTCATATGGTTTAATTAAACGATTGTTTATTATTCCAGCTCATAAATTTGTGTTGAATTTTCGTTGAAAATTCGTCCTATGTATTAAATAAGGGTTCTCTTCACCCCGTATGTGGCATCATAAAAATTATTCACACCGTTTCTCATGAAAAATGCTTCATCAGCACATAACACTTTATATCGAAATTTAGCTTTTCTGACAGGTTTATCTTAAAACCACCTACAAAGTAATAATCTTCGAGAAAGATCACCTTAGAGTAAATCTTGTACTTTCTGATAGTAGTATGGATGTAGAAATTATCTCGAGATGTGCCATGAACAACGTTTTTTGACATTCCAACCATTTTAACCACCGCTCGTGTACTTACATCTAGATTATTCCCCACATAATTTTTGAAAAACATTCACAAAAGGTCGAGCATTAGGAGTTCATCTTTCGGGATACCGACGAATATAAATTTTGATAGCTAAATTACTGTTAAAGTGCTCACGAATCGAAAACATTTTCGAGGTGGCACTAAACACGATTATTCCAACTGCGTTAGGCTTTCACGGCCATCGTCTAACTTGTTAAACTGTTTGTTTGGGCTGTTAGGCCGTTGTCTTTTGAGGTTAGTTTTCGACGTTTCGTCAACACTAGGGGTTGGCATCTTCTGAAGATGTTACTGCTTCGCTTGTAACCTGAAACTGACACCGCGTGGTACTCACACACATCAATCAATGTTCTTCTCAAGAGGATAGGATAAGGATTATTTATTACGATAGGGTGAGATAACATTTTGTGTCCGTTTAGGGTCGGATTAGATAGATAGATAGATAGATAGAACGTTTATTGACCACTTTACATAAAGTTTGAAGTCCGTATAAAAAATACAATAAAAGATATAATAATGTAAACTTAAAATTAACTTAACCATATTGGCTAAAGTAATATACATATGTAAGTATTAGCAGAAGAATTAAAATTAAACAAACCTAAACTGTCACATAAAAAATCTTTGAAATATGAAAGTAACAAAAACGTACAAATAATTAAGAATATTCCCGAATCGATGACTAAATAAACTAATACATAAAACTTAGTACATTTTAATAGCAATAATACAATGTGATATGTAGATAGTAAATCGACAGTATTCTGACCAAACTGGGTATACGTTATAAAGGTGTATTGAGGTATTCTGTCTTTGAGTAAAAACAATATGTTAAAAAATGCTTTTTGATCCTATTTTTAAACAGTGGTGGAGACAGAATTTTTATTTCGTTAGGCAGATAGTTATACAAGTGAATATCAATTGAATTCTTTGTGCTCTTTGATAGTCTGAATCGTTGTGACCTAATTAAATCCCTCGATCTTGTTAGATGATCATGTAATTGGGAGTTTATAGTAAACTTATTTTTATTATCGTGAATTTCCAACAGTGTTGCATACATATAAAGCGAAGGTAGAGGCATAATACCCATGTTCAAAAATAATGGTTTACAATGATCCCTTAAATCCGCTCCAGCAAGTATCCTCACCACCTTCTTTTGTAATTTAAATATTCTGTCGGCATGACCAGAGTTGCCCCAAACAGCTATTCCATATTGTATATGACTATGAAACAATGAAAAGTAACACATTTTAAGGGTACTTTTAGGTACCAAATAAACCAGGTTACGCATTACAAATATTGTACTGTTTAGGGTCGGATTACCCTCTTTAGGCTTGAGTTTGAATTTGTGGAATACAGTACAAACGCAAACACACAAAAATTTCACCGGTATGTTAACTTTTTCTTCTTCTGTTCTTGATTATTCTAAGTTGTGTTTGTCTACGTTAAGATTTTTGTACTTCACGTGGTTGACGAATTTCTTTTTGCATACTATAATGTATTTTCGTTTTTTAACAAACGGTTGAATTTAGTTAAAACATTTTTGGTCTACATGGTGCATTATACCTATACTTTAAAGGACTGTTTACAGTTGTGGTAATTTTAAAATACTATTTTCCTATTTCAGGTTAGTCCTTGGTCACGTGATAAGATTACAACACGCAGATTTGGTAAAGTATTTATATTAATTTTGTACCTACTACAAGGATAAATTTTTAGCGCACTGTATAGTTTATTTTTATGAACCAGAGAGTAATTAGCATAATTTTAACTGGTACCTCCGACCACTCCATGGGCGTGCTCAAGATTAATTGAAAAATTACTTTGAATAATTGTAAAAAATAAATGAATTATTTCAGTGTTATAAAGTGTTATGTGTATGTAAACAAAAGTGACCTCTTTTATTACACACTATATTAGAACTGACTGGCCTACATTAAAAAGGGTTTTAAAAAATTCACATTTTTTTTAATTTTTAAAAATTACAAAAGAGAAAAAGAGTTTTTAAAACCGTCTAAGGTATGTTAAATAGATGAATAAAAATATTAATATAAAACTTACAGCTACTTGTTACAAATCCAAATCAGATTCAGAAGATGAACTTTCAGAACCAAGATTTATAATAACTGGCTCGATCATTTTATCAGTAATATTGTCCAGCTTCCACATTTTTTCCTCTTCTTTAATAGTGTGATTTACTGCCTTTTCCCAGTTTTCAGGTTTTACATTATTTACGGCCTCCAAAAACAACTGTTTAATATCATGAATTTTAAAAGTGGTATTCTTTCTTGAAACTTCACTCTTTATCTGTGCCCATACCAGTTCAATCGGGTTTAATTCACAATGATATGGTGGGGATATAAGTACTGTCATTCCACGATTTTTGGCAATTTCATCAATTTCGTATTTTTAAAATTTTTCTTTATAAAGGGCACACAACGAATAAAGTTCCTTTCTTATAGATCCGGGATGGCACGTAATATTTTTTGAACTCAGCCAATTCTGCAAGTCTTTTTTTAACCACTTGGTTGTGGGCAGTCCTTCTATAAGTCTGGAGTGATAACTTGCATTATCCATTACTATTAGACAGTTCTTAGGGAGAAGATCTATCATTTGTTCGAACCATTCTTGAAAGACATCAGCGTTCATGTCTTCATGGTAGTCACCGGTACGAGTTGATTCAAAAGTTAATAAACCACCTTCAACAAAACCGTCTGAACTGCCAATGTGTAGTATTATCAGCCTGCGTCCCTTTCCTGATGGTGGGTTTAAACCAGTAGATAAGTTATTTGCAAAAGCGTGCCTTTGACTTGTAACAGTTTCATCCTGCCAAAATTTATTTGGTGTATGACCCTCGTTGATCCATGTTTCATCATGATAAAATATTTTTCTATTTTGGTTTCTCATTTCCTTTATGGTTCTTAGAAAATGTCTTCTTCATATGACAATATCGCTTCTTTCTAATAAAATAGACTTTCTGGGATTCTTTTTCCAGCGGAAGCCTATTTCTTTTAAAAGTTTCCATAACGTACTGCGACTCATTTCTGGGTAATCCTTATCATCTCGAACTGAGACAAGAACTTTATCCAATGTTGGAAATTCTTGTCTAAAGAAGAATTCATGCACTTTCCGTCGAAGTCCTTCTTTAAAATGATATTCTATTTGAAATTTTGGTTTGCCCTGGAGCATTACGTGGCATTTGAAAACTACCACATTTCTCTTCTTTAATAACTCTGTAAATCGTAGATTTCCCAACACCAAGTGTACTGCTAACTAACTCAACGATCTCATCAACACTTTCACATAAACGTTTGTCTGTAAATGATTTAAAACAATTAAATATTAATGTTTTTTCATTAACTGTAAAGGACCAATTTTTCGGCGTTTACACGGCACTTCCAAATTTTCCATAACACTAGTATATACAATAAACTGCACCTTGCAACTGAAGTACCTACTTTTAGTGAACTGTTAAGAATTTTGAATACGCCACTCGGACCTTCCTACAAAATGGAAAAACCCACTATCACATTTTCTGTGGAATAAGTTTAGAAGGTAATTATCTAGTCAATTACTGTCGTAGATTCCTGGAATTAAAGAATTAAATGTTTGATTGTTTAAACCCTTCCTTCGTGGAATGCACTCATTTCAGATAAAATAAAACGTTTTATTTTATCTAAAGAATTAAACTTTATTTTGCAAATAGGTAGGTACTTATTAAACTTTTATTGGTTATATAACCAATCAAATAAACATCTTACATTTCTTGCAAATTCATTAGTACCTGTTAACCTCCATCACTCCGACACTGGCAACCTTATTTAGGGATTAGTAACCCTCACAACTATTGTATTCTATTCTGCTCCAACCTTTATACCTGGTGGTCATACTCAATTTAAAATTGTTTTCCTATATACTTCTGTAAACTTGTTGACAAATATCTGTTTTTCATTGAGTCACCCGTATCAACAGTTTAGGGATTTGCATACATAATTTATTGTTTTATTACTCTCTCATACATAAAAATACACTATAGAAGAAACAAAAATTAAAAGTCAAAATGTTTGGTTGTTTAACATACTTTCTTTTTAATTTGATATATTTTGTTACAGTTTCCTAACTAAATGAATTTAAATCTTTAATTTAATGATATTTGAATCTAAAAATCACTTATTTACATTAACAAACTTGGAAAAATATAGCACTACAACCATAAGGCACGAAGTCAAGAAACACCAACATCCTTGACACCGAAAGGATATAGTTCGACTTGGATGTCGAGATCTACGAGACTAAGTTCGGACCTTAATACTGTCATTTAGGTAACCATGTTGCTAAAGATCCCAGTATTTATAGGTTATGGATTTTGACAAGAGCTATGACCTTGTAAATAGCAGGTGAACTTGTGTACTGCATCGGCATGACTCATAGCTTTTGACAAAATCCATTACCTCTTTCCATATTTCATTAGGCACACTTCGTCACATCCTAACCATACTAACTATTTTCCATATTACACAATTAAGAATTATGTGGCGTTTATTTGTTCTAAAATATATATTCTATTAAATTTTTTTATTTTTATTTGCATGTATTATATTTATATCTTCATATTTCAAATATTAACATTATTTTTGGTAAAAAAATCAAATCATATTTACAAAACGTTATATTGAGATACTAAAAAATATTATTGCAAATATAAATTACATTTTTTTAAGTAACAGTTTCAAACTTCTGGGTAGCAAGGATCAACGGCGATGCCACAAAGATTCTTTCCTCTTCTCATTCTGATATAACCTTGTTCGCCAAAGCCCACACCCCAAGAATTTTTGACAATCCAGTAATCAAGTCCATTTTCGCTACCATAACCAACAGCCAACACTGCATGATTTAAATCACCATCACCATTTGGACAACCATCGATATCAAAAATTCCACCTCCATAACCAACAATAGGTGGTGCATTAATTCCTACACTAAGGGGACCCACAGTTCCTTAAAAAGAATAGAAATAATTAAATCGAGTTTTAAAACAGACTTAATAAAGCATTTGTATCGATAAACAATGTATATAGTGTCTGCCCCCTCCCCAACATAGTTGCCAACCCTGAACATATTTTCTAAACCATCTTCTTCTGTTGGCGATATATTACGTAACCCTGCATTAGCAAGTATATTGGCGAGTTGTTTGCTGTTTTAAGGTAGTCTAATTATTTGTTCGGATCTGCGTATTTTTGTCCAATCGCAAATCTTCTTTAGCCATGACGACTGCCTTATTCCAATTCCACTACAAACTTTAACTTTACCTTTCATTATAAGCTGATTTATTTTATATTGCTGTCCTCAAGAACATGCCCTAGCTATGTAATCTTTAACTATTTTAAATATTTCACAATAGACCTTTCTTCTTATGATGCCTATCCATTACGGATGTTGGACACTAACATGTGTTTTTTTACTTTAAAATGTCCGATAGTGGTCAAGTTAAACCATTTTTGTAAGGTGTACAACCAGCATTTTATGCATTTTACCTTGAAGTATGTTTCGAAGTAAGTGATATCGTTGTTTATTACGCATTATATGGTCTAGTTATTCCAGTTTGCGATGTTTTACGTTTATGAATAGTTGATGGTATTAACCAATTCTTTGCAGAACTTTTTCGTTGGTAACTTTCTTTTAAGGGACTCCCTAACATTCGTCTATAGCATCACATTTTAAATGTTTTAAAGTCTCTATAGTTAAGGTCCAGGACTCCACTTCATATAGAAGATCATCGAATACGTAGAATTTTACAAACGTAGAGACATAAATAAATATACATGGACTCAAAAGACAAGAAAACTGCAGTCAATTATAGACTATATAGTAGTTTAACAAGAGACATCTTTAAGACCTTACGATGTAAAAGTTTGGAGAGGGACAGAATGTGGGTCGGATTTACTAGTAAAGGCACCCGTGGAAATAAGATATATTAAACAAAATAAATCCCAAGAACAGACAAACAAAGAATCCACACGGCTCTATAACATAGATAGCTTAAAAAATGAGTCCACAAGTTTTCTTTATAAACTACGTTTGGCACAAAAATTAGACGAAGAAATAAACGGAACAGCAGAAGAAATGTATGAGACTTTAAAAATCAAAATTCATGAAGCAGCATTAGAAGCACTAGGTACGAAAGAAAAAGTAAAACGTAGAAATTATTGGTGGACAGAAGGTTTATTAGAACTGGTAGAAGAAAAAAAAAACTGTATTTCAAATGGTTAGCGACAAAAGATGAGGAAGACCGAAAGAACTATAACAGATACAAATATATAGTAAAAAAGAAAATTAAAAATACAAAAAACATAACCTGGGACAACAAGTGTGCAGAAATAAGCTCAATGGTAGAAGGATCTAGGTCCAGACAAGCTTGGAAAACTATCAACAGTCTTAGAAAAAATACAAACGAAACAAAAAAATAAATCCCATAGACATAGAAAGATGGAAAAATTATTATGAAAATCTATTAAATGAACAACGTACAGAGTTTCTAGACACACAGATAGATAGAGTTGAAACGGGGTTAAATGAAGTGGCGATGATTACCGTAGAAGAAGTAAAAAACGCATTACAAAAAATGAAAAATAATAAAGCTCCTGGGCCGGGTGATTTACCTATCGAGTTATTCAAACATGCCACTGCAATAACATTAGAATTGCTTTGTAAAATGTTTAACAAGTGCCTACAAGGAGAAAGTATCCCAAGAGATTGGAAAGTCTCGTACATAAACTCCATCTACAAAAAGGGAAACAGGAATGACTGCAGTAATCAGCGAGGTATCAGCATTACATCATCCACTGGCAAACTGTATGAAAGAGTTTGAAAGCCAGAATAGAAAAAGAAGCCACAGAAATCGAAGAAAAAAGTGGATTCCGACCAGGGAGATCTTGTGTCGACGATGTATTTACTCTCAAACATCTAACGGAAAAGAGATTAGCAAGAGGACTAGAACTTCATGCCACTTTTATAGATCTCCGTAAAGCGTTTGACTCCGTACCACTGCAGAGACTATGGACAACATTAGAAAACGCAGGTATAAATGAAGTATATAAAATGCCGTGAAAAAGCTATATCAAGGTAACCAAGCTTATATTAAGGTTGGAAACCAAATTTCCAAGAGTTTCACCCAAACAAAGGGTGTCAAACAGGGCTCTTGCCTCTCCCCAACCCTATTTGAAATATATCTTGGTAATGCTTTAAAATATTGGGTGAGAAAATGCAGCCCAATGGGCATATGGGTAAATGACACTCCTATATACACAATCCTCTTCGCAGACGACCAGGTAGTTCTTGCCGAGGACCTACAAGATATGACGTACATGATAAACAAACTTAGAGGTAAATATTATTAGAGGTAAATACCGAAAAGACACAATACAGGAATATAGGAGGCATCGGTCAAGACATGAAAACAGAAAGCGGATTAATTAAAAACGTTGATCCAAAGCTTCATAAATAGCGTCTTTTTGTTTCAAAAATATTTAGTTATAGTGTGTGTATATTTAGGGCTTTAACAAATTTTGGGTACATAATTTTTTTAACAGTTTTATCATTCATGGTCTCGATACTGTTTTTGAAAGTCTTAATGTTTAAAAAATGCCAATGTCCAAAAAAATTAATTGCATTATAACATAGCAATTAGTTACAAAATAAAGTAAAAATTAAGAAAATACCTGAAGCTTGTAGCATATCCCATTCATTCATTCTTTGGACATGAATTTGACCGTTGATTCTTGTAATAACTCTATTTGCGTCATATCTGCAATTTCCTTGTGTTGCTTTATAAGAATAATCACCCTCTGACATAATACCGTTATCACGAATGTAATTTAACGCATTGTTGACCCAACCTCCATTGCAACCGTTGTCAGATACAGAACAGTCCAGTAGTTGCTGTTCACTTAAAGAGATTTGCATGTTTTTCTTAAGAGCAATTTGTCCTTCTACAGATCCCGTCTGTAATATAAATAATGATTTGTTTATTATAGGCAAAGTGACTTTTATACTTTAGAAAACAAATCCGAAAAAGCACTTGAAAAATCAAAATGTTACTGTTATTTTTCAACTGGAATATCTAAGGAAAGCAAATAAAAATAAAGTACCATCTCGTAGGTATCAAAATTTTTACAGCGCCTTGGTTTTTATTAACATTTAAGGAAAGCGACTTTTTTATTTATTTTAATATTGTGAAAACACTACGCATTGTGGATAAAAATAATTGCTCTTTAACACCTTAACCCATGAATAACTTTTATGAATGGACAAAACCTACTTAGAAAAAGACAAAAATAATTATTAAATATATTAAAACCTAAAAATATTGCCTGTTGCCAAATGGCAACGCTAGGTTCCTATGGCTACATTAACCGAATGAAATAAAAGTAAAAAATATTCTATGAAATTAAGAGATAATCGGCAAAAAAACTTTCTATAGCTGTGTATGAAATTTAACATTACACTTTGTGCACAAACCTACTTCACATTTGGCGCATCTTGTTCTCATGATCGACCTGCATTCTTCACCTGCACACCTAATTTTCTTTTTATTTGGTACTGGTTCCAGTAAATGCCCAACTCCATCGTATCTAATATCATCAGATACTCTATGAAAGGAACGACTTGAGAGTGAACTAGACGGTCGGCCACCTTGTTTTGCAGCACCCACGCATTTTGTATAGTCGCATCTAGCATCCAGGTAATCAAGCTCCAGTACCATTTTTTTGCCCTCATTTCTATTCTAAAGCGATTTATATTTTCGTTCATTAGGTCGGTGCCCCCATTGCATTATTATATTTACCAATCAGACATGGACTTTGAACCTGGATGATTTTCTTTTCAACTTGTGAATATCTTTTCACGAGCGATTGTGGTTCCACCCCATAACATGTTGACGCTACACTTACGACGCTGTTATCCAACCATCTTACAACTATAATACCAGTTTCTCTCTCAAGAATCGACTCTACATCACCCCTTTTGCGTTTCTGCATATTAGCTTTCGATTCTATAGGGCAGTTTTTGGGAATGCAATTTTCCCGTATTGTTCCGGTAAGGCTATAGCCACGATCCTTTATATGTTTCAAAAGGTGGAGGCTCGTAAATAAATTGCCGCAGAAAAATTTGTAGGGTAATCTTGATTTATCATTAGGCAGTTCATCGAGCATTGTGACGAATGGAGCCGCACATGCTCTAAAAACTTTATAATATTATTATTTGCTTTGGGATCGGTTCCTTGGTACATGTTGAAGCTTACAAGATACACACTTTTAGTGTTGAGGCACCAAACTTTGTATCCGAAACGAATCGGCTTTCCTTTTATGACCTGTTTACATGAGTGGCGTCCAAAGTATTTCACCATAGATTCGTCGTAATTTAATTCGCCTTCAGCGACGTAATATTCTTTATATTTTTTCTGTAAATAGTCAGCTAAGGGTCTGATCTTGTAATATTTGTCCCTTTCATCGATGGCTTCATGATTTGCAAGGTGGAAAAAAACGCCAAATTGTACGGAACTGATCTCTTCGCATAGTGTTCATGACTATTGCATTACCCATATCGCCTTTCGTATCCCAGTAAATTTTTTTTCCCGGAAGCCAATTATACCCCGATAGAATCAAAATTGCAAAGAAACACCTCATTTCTCCTGCGGAAATTTTGGGGTCGGGAAAGTTCTTCTGTAGTGCATAACTCGTGCATTGGTTGAGAATGTAACTAATTATATCCTCGTCGAAAAATAATTCGAACATCTCGACAGGTGTCAACGTATTGAATGGTTCGTAGCTATATTCTGGGAAACTAGCAACATTGTCGACCAAATCACCTGTTATCCAATTTAGGGATTCGTATTCAATTTTCTTCACTTGAGAGGTAGTTTGTGAGATGAAACTTTCGCTGCTTTGTCTGCTTCTTCGCCATACATTTGCACCTCAACATTTGCTTCCTGCTGTTTTCTAGACAGATTGTCGATGAATCTTCCCCCATCCTCCTCACCAGAATCTTCATCAGTGAGGTCTCCAATATTTGGGGGCTCAACATAAATATTTCTAACGTTGACGTCATCTTCGTAAACTATGTTCAAAGCTTCTTGTAGAGAGAAACATCGCCCGAAAAAACAAGATGCCTGTAGATACTAGCGTTGCCATATGCCAACGCGATGAATAAAAACAAAATATTGTAAAAGATCGCCTTTTTTCTAGGGTTGTCAAATATTTACAGAGGGAAAATGACCTTTCTATTAAAGCATAATTGTTACTTTAGCCACTTAGATGTAATAGTTATTCAGAAGTAATTGACAAATTGAGCTACTTACACAAATCTTATATCCATTTTTACAACTATCAAAAAACGGTGACTATAAAATCTCACAAACACCAACGAATTAAATTTTTGTTAGGTGTATATCTTCAAATCACTTATTTTCTGCAGACCGGCACGTTCTTGGAAACAAAACAAACTAACATAACCTCAAAATAATAAGATTCGTACGTCAATACCAGTGTTGCCATATAGCAACTCCAGTCCTTCATGGGTTAAACGCCACAATGCATAGAAAAAAAAGTTATGTGGGACAAAATATTACACATTTAAAGTATAAGTCTATGCATTTCTAATAGTTATCTTTAGTTTGAGTACAAAATCTTACATTTTTATTGCTTTTTAACATTATTTTAAGTGAGAAGCACGTATGTATCTCATGGCCACAAATACCTTTTGGATTCCTGGAGCCATGTAATGCACACTTGCTTTTCGTATACACACACACGCAGTGATCAACCCTGCTCCTAGGAACACGTGTATACCATTGTAAAGTGGGATCCACGTGTCCGAAGATCAAACTGGTCACATTTCGCTATTGAAGTAGTACTTATTTGAACCTTAGGCTTTTCCTCCCCCCCCCCTCCTCAGCGTGTGACTTACGTCAGTCTTATGATCTAAAAGAAGTTACTTTGGGTGCCTTAGGTAATGAAACACCCTCTGTTTTATTGACTGTGGTTGGGCCACCTACAGTAGGGGTAGCACACATATCGGCTTTTCTCCCTATTTACTTTACTGACTATACAGAAGTTAGTCTAACTTGACATCGGGACTGGTGTCCCTAAAGAAAAAGAAAAAGCGTGTGTTCCGAACAGAAAGCCACCAGCCTGGGCTGATGACTCTCTGTCCGAAAAATGTGTTCACTCAGCCACCGAATTGGCAAAATAAATTTTGCTCTTCTCGCTGGCTATGTGTTCGAGTGGGGTCCGGCCACCGAGCCCATGTATGCGCACATGACCTCGGTGCTCAGGATTCGCGTTAAGATCTACAAACGATCTGATTGAGGGGCTATGCCTAAGCGGCTTGTTATAAAAGGTCTGAGGGGCCTTTTATAACAATTTTTTAACAAGAAATTTAATGCATTGTTTGCAATAAAAAACAATTGTTTACGTTATATAAATAAAACTTAGGTTCAAGCTACATAATAATATATTGTTTTATTGCTAGACACTAGTATCCTAAAAATGCCGGGTAAATATATGAAGGAGTCCATCAGGCTACTGAGAAACTTTATTATTACGAATAAATGAATGGATATTGTAAAGCACGATTGTATCACGCAGCTTGAAATACACTAGAACTATGAGATGCAATGTTGCTTCTTGTGGCGTCAGAAAATTCAATGTATGAGATGCATACCTGCTTCACGTGGCGTGTAATGTGTTAAAACGAGTTCATCATCATCACAGTTATTAACATCTTAGTAGATGTGTTGTGGTTCACAATTGGGCTTCAGCAGCTCGGACAGTTTGATTGATAATATTTCTCCACTGGTCGCGGTCATCAGTTATATGTATTGCCTCAGTATACTGTTTATTGAGAAGCTTTTTAGTAATGTCCGCCCATCGCTGTGGAGATCTTCCGCGTTGGCGTTGAGTCTGAGGCCTTCCTTGGACCACCAACCCCTCCATTTTGTGATCACTTCGATGGATATGGCCAAAGAACTTTAAAATTCTAGAGTAAACGGTACTGGAGAGACGCTGATCCGTTTTAATTTCATCCAGAACCGAGATATTTGTACGGCGAGCCGTCCATGGAATTCGAAGCAGGCGTCTCCATGTCCACATTTCAAAGGCGTTTATACGTCGTCGATCTGATTCTTTGACTGTCCATGTCTCGCATGCATAGTAAAATATGGAAAAGAGCAGAGTTGAAACGAGTCTCTTTTTGTTTGTCATAGTAATGTGACGATCACGCCAGACCCCGTTTAGTTCACTCATTGCTGCTCTTGCTAGTTGAATGCGTCTTCTAATTTCGGATTCACAACTGCCTGTGTTGTTAACTAGAGCTCCAAGATATATCATAGATGAGACTACCTCGCATCCCGCAATAGTTTGGGTTTCAGGAAACTGTTGTTGGCGATCAATAACCATGATTTTGGTTTTTTTGTAGTTAACCATGAGTCCAAATTTAGCACTTTCTACCTCGAGTTTTTGATAATTTAATAATTTCTTCTGGAGTAGAGGCTAGAAGTGTAGTGTCATCTGCGAAACGCAAGTTAGATATCTTAACACCACCTAGGTTTACTCCTCCCTCCCAACCATCCAAAACTCTGCGCATTATGAACTCCGAATAGATGTTAAATAATAAGGGAGATAAAACGCATCCTTGGCGTACTCCCTTCTCCAAAGTGCATTTGTCAGACAGATATCCGTCCATTCGAATATATGCCAGGTTATCTTGATACAGTTTGCTAATAAGGTGAGTCAAGTGTTTAGGTACACCCATTGTCGTCAATATGTTCCATAGTTTGTCCTATCTAACATTATCAAAGGCCTTTGTATAATCGACGAAACATATAAATATCGGGATCTGGTATTCTCTGGCTTTTTCTATGATGCTTCGTACATTAAGGATTTGTTCTCTAGTACCTCTGTCCTTTACAAATCCAGCCTGCTCAGGTGCTATTTGCCAACTTATGAAGTTTTCTAGACGCCGTTGCAGTATGTAGAGGATCACCTTACTGGCGTGTGATATTAGAGCTAATAGCCTGTAGTTGTTACAATTATTTGTTGAACCTTTCTTATGAAGAGGTATGATTATGGTCTTTCTCCAATCCTCAGGCCAGACGCCTGTGTGCCATATTTCATTGCACAATCGATGAAATATTTTCACTCCACATTCCGGAAGATGCTTCAAGACGTCTGCAGTAATGAGATCATATCCTGCTGCTTTGTTTAACTTAAGTATTTTTAAAGCGAATTCCACCTCGGAAAAAAGTATGTCAGGTTCAGACTCAAAACTAGTGTGGTGTGTCTCTGTTGAAGCAGAATGAAATCCGTCTGTACATTACCTTCATCATCTTTGATAGACCAAGATTTCTGCTTGAATTTACGTGTGAGTTGTCTGACTTTATCAAAGAGTTTTTTGGTGTTATTTGTGTCGGCGTGTAGTTGAATTTCTCTGCAGATTTTCTCTATATGCTTGTTTTTGTCTCGTCTACAAGCAACCTGAATAGCTCTAGATAGCTGTCGGTACTGGGAATTCCTGAGAGGGTTCTCGATTCCAGCAATTTTAAGTTTTCTACGTTCTTCAACGAGGTCAAAAGTATCTGCAGACATCCACACTTTTTTTGGTCCGGTTGAGACGGCATTAGACTGTGCCTCGCAGTCAGTCAAGGTCTATATCAAGGTATTTTTAAAAGATAACCAAATCTTTTCGGAATCATGAGTGACGATAGTTGGTAAAATATTTTCGAATCTTTCTAAAACGAGTTATTGTACGTTAAAAAAAGTTTTTGCAAATTTAACCCAAAAGAAAGCATTTTTAGTTGTTAAAAAATCATCAAATAAACAATAAAAATATTTAAAATATATTTCACTATGTCTGTTTTTATGTAGTTAGTATACGCGCAAAGAAAAAAAGTAATTTTTAAATGACTTTCATAGCTTTTAATAATATTATGCCAAAGCTTCACTTCAGTACTCAACTAATAAATATATTTTTTATTACATTAATAGGGATTTAAGTTTTCTATCCAAAAATGCAAATTTTTCAATCTTATTATTATTATAAATTATTTCCTATATACTTACAGTACTGAATGACCAACAGGATCCACAATTACCTTGGTCCTTCACTTCGCGAACAGCATTGTGTTGTCTCCAATCCATCGAATCTGGAACCTTAAGATTTTTTGGAAAGGTAGCGTAGGTTACGTTGGTCAACTTTGGCTTGCGTGTTTTTTGATTGTTGAAAAAATGGCGAATTTCATCTTCGGTCCAATCTGAGAAACGGTCTACTTTCTTGAACCAAGTTACCTCACCTTTTTCATATCGGGCATTGTGTTCTTCAATTTTACGCAAATATTTTTGGAATACTTCAAATCGAAGTGCATCTTCCTTTACATTTTGGTAAACTTTGTTATGCACCGACTAAAAGTTAAATCAGATATAAATTAACTTATGGAAAATTAGTAATTTTTAAATTAAATGAAAGAATGTTGATTGAAATAGAATATTGGTTACAGTCTTAGTATGTAGAGTTTTGATACATTCTTTTGGTACGATTAATAATTAAAGCGCTTAACATATTTCTATAAAAGTCTATTATTAGGCATTAGGTATTTAAAAGTATGTATTGTAATGGCTGGTTTCGAGATAACATTAGTCGAAAACGCTTCGTTCTTTCACAAAAATTTTTCATGTCAATGATATTCTAAAAAACATTTCTATTTTCCTCTCAGATATAATAGTTAACATTGTTACTTTATTTTTCAACATTCCTTCGATGACGCCATTTCCATCTTGGACTATAAACATCAAATCCCCCAAGACACATTATCTCTTATAAAACACTGCATGTCTAATACATACTTTTTATTTCAAAATTATTTTTATCGTCAAATCAAAGGTGCCTCAATAGCATCCCCCTTCTCCCGTAATAGCTTGTATCTATTTGGAACGTTTTGAAGCAACAGACAGGATGAACAAACAAAAGGAGGTCGTATTGAGTGTTAAAATGAGGAAACTACAGTACCTGGGACATATTACACGTGGGAATAAATATCAACTGTTACAACTTATTATGCAAGGAAAGATTGAAGGTAGGCGCAGCATAGGTAGGAGAAGAATGTCATGGTTGAGAAACCTCAGGGAGTGGTTTGCTTGCACTTCCATACAATTGTTCCGAGCGGCAGCCTCCAGGGTCAAAATTGCCATGATGATAGCCAACCTTCGTAGCGGAGATGGCACGTGAAGAAGAAGAAGAAGCAACAGCCTTGTGCTCATCAAATCTCAAACTCACTTACTGGTTACGGTACCTTAAACACCTTTGTCATTTGGGTTAAATGTTAAAGACACATTAAATCTCTTTCTATTTCACCTGACTGGAATACATCCCAGTAATCAATTACCAGTGAAAGTTGAGTCTAAAGCGTCTTTGCCATTTCTTGATGTTCTTATTCAGAAACACCTACTTCGTATTTTGGCCTATTCCGTGTACCGAAAACCCATCCATACAAACTGTTATCTCAATACCCAGTTACATCATCATCACGCCCGACTTAACTCAGTTATCGACACTTTTGTTTTCTATTCCATTAGACAACAATCACAGATCATGTTAACATGCTAAATTAATTCAATAAGGCAACAATCTTACAAAAAGGCTACCAAAAAACCCAAATCAATAGGAATATTCAAAAACATCTAAACGTCATTCCATCTAAAAAAAAACCATGCCGCCTGATCAACCCAAAATATGTATACCTTTTATCAACAGTGTTACTGACAAAATCAGTAGAACTCCTAATTCTCTGAACATCAAAACCTTCACTACTTACTCCAAGTTGTCCAATCTTGTCAGATACGTAAAAAACCAAGTCCACAATGAAGACCTTGGTGCCTACGAGATCTTGTTCCAGTTGCCCACATTCATCAATAATACAGACAAATCGACGAATGCATAACCGTATTTATTGAATATTCTATATCTATGAAACATTCCGATACTACTTCAGCCCTATAATCTTATATTCATCCTTATAGCCCAACATCATATTCAGAAAGGCCACATTCTCATCCGCTCTTTAAAATAGAGAATTATTTGTGACGGCAAATTGAAAAACGATCCAATAGCTTAAACACGTGCGATGATGCTACAGGACTGTCCGCAATATGGCGATCGCTGCTTCAGCAACCCCCCGCCCCAACTTATTTCTCTCAGACCGTTTCCGCACATGCCGTTTCCTTACATACTGAGAGACCAAAAGGCCCTGCGCAAATTGAGCACAGCCCACGCACATCCCACGCGCAGCCCACGCGTGGGTTATTTTGTAAAACGTGGCTTTAGACGGAGCGACGCATATTAAACCCAAATCACGGCCAGGCTACTGCCAGACTTGGTTGGCGTGGATAGAGTTGTGCTAGCAACACAGTTTCGTGGGTCGTGGGTCTCTACCTAACCTTAGTTATTTTGTTTTGTGTTTTTTTTTTTTTTTTTTTTTTTTTTTTTTTTTTTTTTCCTTGGCTTGGACAATTGTCATTCAGCCAGTATTAAAGAATTTAAATATGTCAATTAGTGAAACATGATTAATATAATAATAATATCAGCTAAGCTAATGTACATACTATGTTAATAAATACTATATCATACCTTTATTATAATTTAGTTATACATCTTACAAATAAAAAAAAAAAAAAATATATAAAAATAAAGATATCTACCTACTATGTTAATAACTACAACTATGGTAATACATTTTTTTTCACTACGTTAGGACATAAACCCGATTCAACCTCTCGGAGGTTTAGATCCTCTTAGTGATTGTTTTAGTATATTTTTATTTATTTATTTTTTTTTTCTTATTTTGTTCTTTTTTTTTTAATTTATTTTTATAATCATCTTTTTTCTTTTTTTTTTTAATTTATGTATTTTTTTTTTCTTTTCAAATCTATTTTTTTTATATTCTTTTTATTTTATTTTTTTTTGTTGAACTTTTTTTTTAATAATTTTTTTTTTTATTATTTTTTTCATGAATTTTTTCTAAACATAGGTTACAAATCTAACTAATTACAGGCATACTTTACTATCAGACAGAAAGGTTATCAAGCAGTTATACATTTTCTTCTCATTGAGAGATAGTAGAAAGAGAATATTAACAGGAAGAGGGATGTTCTTGTCTATCATTCTTTTAATTAGGTTGTTGGTGGGTTGTTTATACTTTTGACATTCAAAAAATATGTGGTTTAAGTCACTTTTAATCTGACATTCTTGACAAATATCCGAATCTAATATATTTATTTTAAATAAATGTACAGGATAACATGCATGGCCAAATCTAAGTCTACTGATGGTAGTTATGTATTTGCGAGGGAGGACGAAATTCTTATATCAAGGTTGTTTTGGAATAATTGGTTGTATCAAACTGTATTGTGTTGTTGAAATACTACAGTACTTTTCCCAGTGTTCTCTCCAGTTGTTCATTTGTTTAGTTCTTGAACAAGCAAAAGCATCTATAATGCAAGGTTTATAGTTGGTAAGTGTTCCATAAAAGATGGAATTTTTTGCTAACTGGTCCACGTGTTCATTATATGTAAGTCCTGAATGTGCTTTGATCCACATCAATTGTATTTTTTGGGTGTATTTATTAATTTCAAATAAGCAATTTTTAATTAAAAAAATGTATGGATTAGAAGTACTACAGGGTAGTTGCGGTTTTTGAATAGCTGTAAGTACAGATAACGAATCAGATAAAATTACTGCTGAACTATACGATGCCAATTTGAAATACTTTAAAGCCTCATATATGGCCACAGCCTCAGCACTAAAAATAGAGAAATTTGTGGGCAGTTTAAACATTTTTCCTATAAATTTATCTGGAATATAAAAGGCACAACCAGTACCCTTTGAACTTTTAGATGCGTCTGTATAAATACAAACAGATTTTGGCCAATTTGTCAGATAGTTGTTTAAAATAATACGACTTATTAAAGGGTTCTCATGATAAGTAGGTTGTATTATATGTACTTGATCCAGTAACTCAAAGAAATCTTTAAAATGTACTACTTTGTTTGCAACTATAAGTTCAGTATCTTTATTTGCAGTATTTCGAAATGCTTCACATAGCGGTGGAGAATTCTTGCGAGTCCAATATTTATTTGTTAAGTCGAAATACGTTAAAATACTAATATCTTTATATAAACAAGTGTTGTAGCAACAAACTTTAAGAAGAAATTTTTGACTGAGATATTCTCTTCTAAATTTACTGGGCGGTTCCATTGTCTCAACATAAAGTGGTTCAATAGGGGTAGATCTCATAGCACCAATGCAACACCGCAAAACTGTGTGTATAAAAACATCTATACGACGTAAAATATTGTTGCTAGCGGAGCCGTAAAGTACAGAGCCATAATCTATAATGGACCTGATATAAGAACGATAAAATAGAAGACACGTTTCAACATCTGCACCCCACCAAGTTTTTGAAATTGATTTTAGAAAGTTTAGTGCTTTATTACATCTATCAAGCATAAAATCAACATGCAGTTTCCAGGTCAGTTTTGTATCCAAAATCATACCCAAATATTTTATTGACTTACAGAGGGGAAAATAATTATCATTTAATTTTATTTGTTCTCCTTGAGGCAAGTTATGTCTAGTGAATATACAAATGTTAGACTTGTTGTTTGCCAACTCAAAACCATGTTTTTTAAACCACCTACAGCAATGTTCATGAACACTTTCCAATGTGTTTAAACCGTTATTGTAACTTTTAGATTCCGTATAGATACAGAAGTCATCTGCATATTGTATTGTATTAAATGAGATTTTTTCGATACTAATATTATGAAAATCGGCTGTGTAAAGATTAAATAGAAGTGGACTTAAAACTGAGCCCTGTGGAAGACCCGAACTATTAAAACGTGGTCCAATGAGTTGATTGTTTTCCTTCCTAATATATATTTTCCTGTTTAAGTAGAAATTTACAATATTTTGAGTTAGCAGGGAAGGTATTTGAAATTGATGAATCATCTTTTAGTATATCTAAATTAACACTGTCATATGCACCTTCAATATCCAAACATAAAAGTGGTACATACGTATTGCGAGAATATGCATTTTGAATGTGAGTTACTACGGTAGCGAGTGCATCCAAAGTACCACATCCTTGTCTATAACCGAACTGAGAATTTGGAAGTAGTTTTTTCTCACTTATCCACCATTCGAGTCTTACTTTTAGTATCCTTTCTAATACTTTGAAAACACAAGACATAAGTGAAATTGGTCTGTATGATTTTGAGAGATTCGGATCCTTCATTGGCTTTAAAATTGGGATGACAATAACTTCTTTAAATTCATCCGTACCTGCAGAGAGAACTTCGTTAAATATTTCCAATAAGAGATCTTTAGCGGTTGGAGGAAGCATATCAAGCATAGGATACTTAATGTGGTCATAACCGGGACTTGTGCTAGGACGATTATTTAAAACATAGCTTAGTTCTGTCTGTTTAATCGGTTGAAGTAAAAAATGGCTTTTGTCGCTCACTATTTTACTAGGTTTATTAGGCATAGATATCACTGTTGGAGGAGCAATTATGTCAAAAAACCCTTCTATCCAAATATCTTCAAAAGATTTTTTTTTTGTAGGTGATTTTCTGTATAACTTTCTAGCTTGCGTCCAAAGTACTGATGATGGTATAGATTTATTGAGAGAAGAAACCCAATTGACCCAGCTTTGTTTCGCAATACTTTTTAGTTGTTTTTTTGTACTTGCCATGTTTGATTGGCATTTTATATAGTTCTCAAAATTACGTTCTTTTTTATAATTCGTGAGTGAAAATTGCCGGTTTTTAATAATCGTGTCACATTCAGAATTCCACCACGGTGGAGGGTTTCGAGTTTTTGGCCTAAAAGGTTTATATTGTGGTATTGCAATGTGAGCAGCATAATTTATACCATTCATTAAATGTTCATATTTGCTTGATGTGTTTTTTGGAATTTCAGTATTTTGATTCAAAAAGTTTTGTACTAAAGAAGTATATAAAGGCCAATTAGCTTTTTTGATGTTCCATTTATTTTTCGGTAATATTTTTTCTGTTTCGGCTTTAATGCAAATATCCACCTGTATAACAAAATGATTTGATCCTAGTGTGTCTGAAGAGATAGACCATTCAGTCTTACTAACAAGATCAGGACTGCAGAAAGTAACATCAATCATTGAGTAATTCTGGTTAGGTTGAGTTAGTATTGTTGGTTGTCCATTATTTAAAACTGTAAATTCAAGATCATCTGCCATTTTAATCAGCTGTACTACGATTCCATCATTTGTACTTGAACCCCAAATAGTATGATGGGCATTAAAATCACCTCCTATAATAACTGGTTTTTGTAACTGGGAAAATATATTTATCCAATCATTTATTGTGCATCTTATTTTCGGGGCTCCATATAGTGACATAAAACTAATTTGATTATTCCCATATTTAATTTTTATAGCACATAACTGTATTTCATTATTGTAATTATTATTGTTAATTTTTAGTTCAGTAAAACAAATTGATTTATTTATAAGTATAGCAACTCCACCATAACCATCCAACCTATCATTACGAACAAGATTATACCCATTAAAATCATATATTACATTTTTTTTAAACCATGTTTCACTAATAAGAGCTATGTCTATTTTGTTAGTTACTAAATAATGCATCATGCTATTTTTATTTGAGACAGCAGATCGAGCATTCCACTGTATTATTTTTAACTTAGGTTGACAAGACATTTTTTATTTAGTATTAATCAAAGTACCCTCCAATACCTGTTCAATATTATTGACTATTAATTGTCTATCTATAGACCGTATATCATCCAAAGTTTGTATACTTTGTAAAAGCTGATATATAAAAGTTGAAAGACTTTCAGTTACATTTCTTTTAATTTCAATGTTTTCATAATTTGGTACAATTCGATTAACAGGTAAGGGTTTCTCAGGTCCAAAAACAAAAGGAAACATTGGTTTCTCAGTAGACGACTGTGCAACTGGTGAATTAACTTTTCTTTTTTTATTTGTTTGAGATTTAGTGATGTTTAAATCAGTGTTAGTAAAAGCAGAATTTGGCTTGTGTGAAACTGGTTTAGATATCGGAATATTTTTGCTAGTTGTAGGCAAACTAGGAAAATCCCTTTCATATTCTGCTAAGCATTCAAAGGAATTGTTACTTACAAAATTTGAAAAGGACTTTTCACAGTAATTACGTGCTTCTACAAATGATACGTTATGTTCAGCCATTACATTTTTAATTTTTTTCTGTTTTTCATATTGGGGGCATTTATTGGATATTGACAGATGTTTCCTACTTTTACAATGAATACAAAATACATTTTCTATATTACAATTATGATCTTTTTCTTTAATTTCACTACATTGAATACACCGTTCTTGTGTACTTTTACACTGTTTGGATACATGTCCAAATCTAAGACATTTATAACATTGAACGACTTTTCCAATATACTGTGCAACAGGACAAAATACCTTATTAAAAGAAACATAATTCGGCAGAACGTTGCCTTCAAATGTGATAATTATTGTCTTTTTATCTATGTATTCAACTTTATTATCATTATTAACTTTACGTTTAGTTCTATATATATTAATAACTTTAGAAGATGACTCTATAGTATTTATTAAATAATCTACGTCATACTGAGTATCCACGTCCCGTACTAAACCCTTGACTTCCAACAAATGATTAGGTATGTACGCCTTAAGATTTTCCAATTTTAGAGCTTGATTATTTACTAAATTATTGGCTTCCAATAAAGACTTTAATAAAACCTTGATACGATTTCTACCTATGCTTTTAATTTCTAAAATATTTGTTAGTTTTAATTTTTTGAATAATATGTGACCAACTGTCATCGGATGTAATCTACCTAAATTTTCAACATTTACTTTTTCAATATAGACCCAAATATTTTTAATATTGTACTTATCTTAGCGTAAATTGAAGGTCTTCTTTTCCGGTTCCATGATAGAAGCTCCTACACTGGTGACATTTTTTATGGTCATGCTTTGGTTATCAGTTATGTTTAAATGTTCTTCACTATTATCTATTAACATTTGCGTCAACGAAGACGTCCCTGCACTACTGTCCCCCATTGGGGGAACAAAATAAAAGTTTTCAACCGTAAAACACTTAGATTATTTAACTATAAGGTCAAAACTAAAATATTAATTATACATAAAAAGTAAATCACAATACTAATTAGAAATCCGGCTCGTTTATTATGTTTTTTGCACTTAAATTTTTAAATCAATACTGTTTAAAATTATTAAAAACTATAATTTTTATCGGAGAACTTTTAAATTCAAATTTTCACTTTGACAGTTATTTGACGTATGATGGAATAGGATGTAAGTCACCGTTATAATTATTCAAAAAAAAATTTATTTAAATTAATTTTTTACTAAATCAAATGAGAAACAAATCAAGAACTAAGGAAAAAAAAACACATTTTCATTTCCTAGCAAAATGTTTATAAACACCTAAGATGAAAACTTATTCGTGATTGCCTGATGGTACTTTTTCGTGATGCTCATATTGTAATGGCTTTTATACACTAAAATTAATTTAAAAAAGAACATGAGGAAAGTAGAAAAATAAAAAAAAATTTCAAATTTAAATTTATCTCGAAAACAAAATACGATCAGCTTATTTCAATTATATCTATAGTCTTTTGTTGAAGGATTTCAATTTTTTACCTTTAGTATTTGTGAAAGTTTTCAAGATATTTATATTTTCAGATTAGAAATTGTTAGTGGGATATTAGGTAAAAATTAAAAGGTCTAGAAAATAAAATCTTTATTTAAACTAATATACTGAAGAAAGTCTATCTTTTCGTTGAATGGTATTTGCGAAAACAATCTCCTATGCATAGTCCAGGTTTGGATAGAACATATTCTTTACAAATATTTGACATGGGCGTGGGCTGTGTTCAATATGCGTTAGTATTTAAAAACGTGTACTTGGACAAGGTTGGACCATACGTGGGCTGCGCGTGGGATGTGCGTGGGCTGTGCGTGGGCTGTGCTCAATTTGCGCCGGGCCTAAGCCCGGTCGTCAATCACTACTGAGAAGTAGGCAGATCGAAACCTCAGAGACGTTTGACTGTTCTTGTATTTCTACAGAACAAGATACTGGAACGTCACGAGTGAGGAAAAGATATCTCTTTTCACCAACCATATCTCACTTGGTATTGTATCTAAAATAACTTTTAAAAAATAAATCTCATAATTTTTTATAACTTTTATTTTTGTTAAACAAAGTCAAAGGCATCTCTTTTAATTTATTTATAAAAACCCGTTAAAAACATAAAATATTTCAATTAAAATTTGCTGTTTTTAACTATAAATGGTTCAAAGAGGATTGAATTTCTGAAAAAACTCCATAAAATAGCTACTAAAAATTTAATTCTCTGTCGTTTTCCGTGATTACTTGGAACAAAACAATTTACACCCTTAAGAAGGAGTGGCAACCACCCCTTTTTTCTAAGCATATATCGGCGTTATATAACTTTTGTTGTTTAAGCACTTGCCCATCAACTCAACAAATGTCAAGTAAATCCGTTCGGTCCGACAAAATTGGGAGATGACTAGCCCAAGTGACTGAATTATATGTATCTATCAAACCTTTTATTTCTTCTTTTCAATGCTGTCAATTAACAAAAAAACTTTTGTTACTTACTTTAAAACTATCCCATTGTTCTTTTTCAGTCAAGGCGTGAACAGCCAATAAGGTTAGCATAAAAACTAGGATTTCTCTCATCGTCAAATATCCTAAAATAAAACAAATGGAAAATATAGTGTTTATTAAATATTAAACTAAGTTTTTTTAGTTAAAATGGTCTTGTAGATCTTTATGTGTACCTTTGTGCCACACTTCTTTTCTTAAAATGATTTCTCAGATAATCATTCAACAAAGGGCCCCGACACTTTTTTTTATATAAAAGTGGTTTCAGTTAAATTGGCTGAAACTTTGCAGAGAGGTAGATTTAGACATTATAATCAAAAGTTTTTTACCCTAAGCCTCAGAAGTCAATTGTTTCTGAGTTGAACAGAGGTTTAAAGTGTCACTTTTTAGTTTATTTAAATATCACATATTCGTTTAATATACAGAATGGTAGTAAATAAGTGCAAAAAATTTCAGGAAGAAATTCTGCATAAAAAATATTTATTTATAGTTGCTATATTAAAAGTATGTCCACAATTGTTTTTCCAAGATACAGAGTTTTTAAATTTTTCTTACAAACTGACAATTTATCTATTGCCCTTTTTGCAATATGAAAATGAACCGGTTGCGATATGAAAATTAAATTAAGTGGATTTTGAAAGGTAGTTATTACGCATTTTTATCATAAAACTAAGAATAGTATATGCATCATTGTAAATTACCAGTAATTCAGTTTTAGATAGGGTCAAAGAAACATAACACAATATTAAACTCTTCGCCTTATTAGTTCTTGTATTTGTTTGAAATATTGTAACGTTTGAATTTTAAACGTTTTAAATTTAAAACTTTTGACGATATTTATTAAAATATTTTGTAACAGGTGTTTATAGCCCTGACCGTCTCTCAGAATATATTATTTTCAGCCTTCCCTATAATAAACTATGTCTGGGTTGGAATATGCATACTTTTCCATAAACACGTGCATAATCTCCCTTAAAATTAATAGCTTTAGCTATATTTAAAGTTAAAAGGTCTCATTTTTTAATGAGAATAGAACCACCACTTTTTTAATTAGCCCTGCCCGAAGTTATAAAAGAAATTATACAACTTATCTTCGGTCAGCTAATTTTTAGTCTTCTATCGAAATACACGAGAAATACAGAAAACAATTAGAAACATTACTCAAGAAGAAACAAATAAAGGAAATGAAGTAAAGATTGGAGTAAAAAAAATATGGGTAAATAACAGCAAATGGAAGTGAAACAACAAAGAAAGCGCTATATGTAAAAAAAAACATCAAAAAACTAGCAACTAAATGTACTACTGGAATAACGTTGACGATGCAAGCATAGAACAAGGTTAGGGATAATACGAAAAAAGGAAAAAAGAGAAAAAAATGAAAACGGGACCAAAACACAAGCAAACATTATAAAAAGAACACTTACTTTTAGGAACATGAAATGTAAGAGGTACATATGGAGATGGCAAACTTTAACATTTAGCGAGAGAAATCGAAAAGTTACATTTTGACATAGTAGCTTTACAGGAGACGAAACAGCTGGGAAATGATATATTAGAAGTAGAAGATACAATGATTTTTAATAGCGGCGAAAAGAATCGAACGTTAGGCACAGGTTTTATGATAAGAAAAGAGCTAAAAGAAGCAATTGTAGAGTCTAAACCAGTATCAGACCGCATATGTAGTATCAGGTTTAAGGGAAAATACCAAAAAATCACCCTTATAAATATTCACGCGCCTTCAGAAGAAAAAGATAATGATGTCAAAGAATGTTTCTACAGTGAATTAAACAGAACAATCGAAAATATACCCAGATATGATATGAAAATTATTTTAGGCGACACAAATGAAAAAATAGGGAAGGAAAAAGTATTTAGACCGACAATAGGAAAATAAAGTAAACACAAAAAAACTAATGAGAACGGACAATTCCTGATAGATTTCGCAAGAGAAAAAAATATGATCATAATGAGCACATATTTCGAAAGAAAAAAAATACACAAGGAAACATGGATATAGCCAGATAGAAAGACTAAAAACCAAATAGACCAGGTGCTCATCGAAAAAGAGGAACAGCCATGTATAAAGAAGATAAGAACATACAGAGAACTAGACGCTGACTCAGATCATTACATGGTGGGCATCAAAATTAAGCAACTGATACCAGAAAACAAAAACAAAATAAAAAAAAAAGAAATGTATACATAACCCAATTCAATTAGCAACAAAAAAGAGCAAGAAATATATGAAGAAACAATGGAAAAAGAACTAAAAAAGATAAAAATAGAAGAGCAAACTGGAACAAATGGGAAAACATAAAGCAAATAATGAACAGAGCAGCAAAAGAATGTAATAATCAAGAGAATAAGAAGATGAAAGACTGGTTCGACATAGAGTGCCAAAAAGAAATAGAACTAAGAAAATCATTAAGGATGGAAATGATCAAGAAAGAAACAACAGAGACAAAGAATAGATATAGGGAGCAAAGACAAAAAGTGAAGAGAGTGCTGAGAGAAAAGAAGAAAAAACACATAGAAAATAAGCTAAAAGAAATAGAAGAAAATTACAGAAATAAAAAAATAAAAACCTATATCAAGGTACTAGAAATGAAAAAAAAGGTTTCCAACAAAAACCCATATTCGTTAAAAACAAAGCAGGAAATAATATAATCGGGGAAGCAGAAATAGTCGAAAGATGGAAAGAGTATTTTAATGAATTACTAAATGGCAATAATAAGTTAAACCGAAGAGAATGTATGGAAGCAGAGCAAGAATCGAAGACTTAGAAGGCATAGAAGATAATTCACCCAGCAAAGAACAAATCGAAGAAATCATAAAAAATCTGAAAAACAACAAATCCTCTGGAAGCAATAACATAACAGCAGAGATAATGAAATATGGTAAAAAACTGGTAAATAATTGAGTATACAAGATCATAAAAGAGATATGGACAAAAGAACGAATACCAGAAGATTGGAAGAAAGCCATTATTTGCCCATAACACAAAAAAGGAGACAGAACAGAATGCAGTAATTACAGAGGAGTAGCGTTACTAAATACCGTATAAAAAATCCTATCAAAATCCATAAAACATAAGCTAGAAAAAGAAGCTGAAAATATAATAGGCGAATATCAGTGCGGATTAAGACGAGGGAGAAGCACAACGGACTAAGTATTCATAATCAGAGAATTACAAGCAGAAAGCTATGAACGCAACTTACCAACGATAGCGCTCTTCATCGACTTCCAGCAAGCATACGATAGAATAAAAAGAACGGAATTAAAAGAGACCCTTGACGAACTGAGAGTTAGCAGAAAGTTGCGCAACATAATACATCTTACTTTAGAGAATACAGAAAACAGAGTCAAAGTAAACAATCATGCACCGGACAAATTTGTAGTAAACGAAGGATTAAGGCAGGGCAATCCTTTGTCATCATTACTTTTCAATTTATGCTTAGAAAAAATAATGCGAGAAGCAAAAATCAATAGAGAAGGACACCCATATAATAAAAGACACCAAGTTTTGGCATTTGCGGATGATATAGTGTTGCTGGCAAGAGGAAAAAAGGAGCTACAGGAGATAGTACAGAGAATAGTAAAAGCAACAAAGAAAATGGGACTTTACATAAAACAAAATGTATGCAGTGGACAGATAATCAGTTTGGGGATGGACAAAATTAGAAGTAGAAGAAATATCATCATACGAATTTGAAATGGTAGAAAGATTTACATACCTAGGTACAATAATATCACGTAAACCTAACATTAAAGAAGAAATACAAGCTAGAATAATGGCAGGTAATAGAAGTGTACATGCTCTTAGTGGAATGTTGAAAAGCAAGTTTTTATCAAGAAAGGCAAAAATACATTTATATAAAACAACTATACAATCAATAGTAACATACTACAGTGAGACGTGGATAATGACAAAAAATGAACCAAATTTACTTTAGATATGGGAAATGAAATCCTGAGGAAGATATACGGAGGAATAAGTGACGGTTTATGGATAAGAAGATCAAATGATGAGTTAAAGAAATAATATAATCAACCTAACATAATAGGAGTCATAAAGGCACATAGACTAAGATGGCGAGGTCACCTAGAAAGGATGCCGAACACGAGGACTCCAAAAAGGGTACTAAACTACACTATAACTTTAAAAAAGAGAAAAGGAAGGCCAAAAAATAGATGGAATCAGGAGGTAGAAAAAGATATGGAAGAAATTGGACTAGACGGCCAGAAAAGAAAAATGAATAACAAGAAGGAATGGAGAAAAGTCACATATCGAGCCAGAGAAGATCTAAGTACATAAAGGAAAGCGAAAATGAAGAACAAAATTTTTAAGCCATGGGCCTCTAAGGCCTTTAGTGCTATTGTATATATATCGAAATGCATAGTGACGTAAATTTCTTCTTCTTCTAGTGCCATCTCCACTAATGAAGATTGGCTATAACCATTGCAAATTCGTCTCTATCTTCTGCTTTTCTTATGAGCGTATGTGTGTTTAACCCGGTCCAATCGCGAATGTTTTTTAGCCAGGATATTTGTCGTCCACCAGGACCCCTTTTTCCTTCGATTTTACTATTCATAATAATTTGCAATAACCCGTATTTATCCTTTCTTCTAAGTATGTGCCCCAAAAATGCTGCCTTTCGCTTTTTGATGGTGGTCAAAAGTTCTCTGTCTCTACCCATTCTGTGCAACACCATTTTGTTCGTAATATGATCGGTTGGTATTTTCAAAATTCTGCTAAAAGGCCACATCTAAAAAGCTTCCAGTTTTCTCCTTAAGTCAACAGTAACAGTACAGGCTTCGACACCATAAAGAAGAATCAATTGAATATAACATTTTACCATCCGATATCGGATTTGTAGGTTGGGTCTTTGGTTACTCAGAAATTTCCTCATCTTCAAAAAGGCTGCTCTTGATTGCTCCATTCTTGATCGAATTTCTGATTCAGATCTTCCGTAATTCAGTTTCCTAGGTATTTGATTTTGTCTACTAACGTAAATTTATGTTTGTTTATTTGTTTATTTACCTATTTAAACAAAAACCCATATTTTTTTGGCAAGTTTGAAAGTTT